TATGATGATTAGACTTCATGATAACACACGATCGAGACAAACGGTTTTCTGTTTCGAGTTATTGTTAGGTCAACTAAGAAAAATTTTCGGCTCATTCGGGTCCAGTTTTGAAAATTTCGGGTCGGGTTCGGGTAAAAAATGTTCGGGTCGCGTCGGGTTCGGGTCATCCACGTAAGACCCGATTCGGTCTCTGGTTGATATATATAACACGAAAGAGTAAATAAAAAAGATCACATCACTCATATCCACATCTGTATCCTGATCCACCTACACTTACTTGAAACTTCAGATATGTTAATTGAGGTGCTCATTATTGACATTAAAAATACTTGACGATCATTTGCAATTGACCCCTGTGAAACAAAAGGTTATCTATGTAAAGTAAAATTGTTTTTGATCATTTTATAAAAAGAAAAAAGAACTATTCCGAACAAATTGCATAAAACAAGTCGATTGTTGGTATGAATAACGATCTTGATAAAGTCTATAAATGGTCCTTGCGATGATACCTGCCGCTAAACATCCTAAAATGTTTTGGGATGATTTTTCATCGATCAATAATGCTCACTGTCTTGCCACCGTTACAGATCAATAATATTTCCTTAGATTTTGTAAACCAACGTATTCATCTTGGTTTATATCTTACTAAAACTCTTGATAGGACTCTACATATCAACGCACCGGTTTCTAAATGTGGTAAGACAGTTGATGTTTGAAATTTTTGAGCAGGACTTTATCTCGTCACGCTCTCGGTCTGGCTTACACATATATTTTGAGTTGTATTAGCTATGCTAGCGTTAAATATTCTTCAATAAATGAAAAAAATTTGAAGCGTCTGGTTACTCTGCAATATCATCCGTCCCTTGCTGTCACAGGAGCTATGTCAGGTAGTTCGTACCAAAAGGTAATTGGTGAACTAGGATGGATTCCACTCTTGAGTACAATAGTCAGTCGTAAAATAACTCAGTTTGGTTTATTTGACATTCATCGTCTTTGTTTTTTCTTTAAAATTGTGAACAAAATATATGACTTGAATGAGCTTTTGACACCAGCGAACACCTGTACCTTTCCTTTACGTAGTCAAAACAACGATAAATTACCAGTGTGAGTTTCTCCACGAAACCGTTTCTCACTTCTTTCCTACCTGTCCTCTTTTCACTACGGAAAGATCTCCACTGTTAAATATCTTCAAGACGGTGTTAAAGGTCAACATCATCCAGTTAAACCATATTCTCTTTAGGGATCCAATTTTTTGTTTTATGAATAAACGTGACTTATTCATATTATATAATAGCGTATTAGACTTCATAAAAACGACAAAACGTTTCCGCCCGTGATGTGGTTGTACTTGACCTGCTTTATTGTCCTGTAGTAGACACGTTCACGTTGAAACTGATAGAGGTCCGTTGAGAACATTCCAATATGATAAAAGAGTTCTTAGATCCTACTCTCGATTGTCCTAGAATAGTTTGCTGTTCTTTCTCTAATATATTATCGGCAATGTGTTTTTTTCTCTTCTCTTTTTACCAATTTAACTGTATTTCTCTTTTGATCAAATTGTCACGACATGTAATGAGCATAACTCGATTTGTTGTTTTAATAATAAACTTAGTTTAAATTAAATTGCATAAATGAACTGTTTGAAATTGAGGCATAAACTTCACGCGGAACAACAACATGATGCAATTCATCATGTTGTTGTTCCGCGTGAAGTTTATCATGACTAAAATCGAGAATTTGAGATGACAGTGGTAGTGCCGTCGAAGTGAGAGTTGTCGGTGACGGTGTCGACATCGGGTTTGGAGGTGTCTGTTGAGTCATAGATCGAGTGGTGACGGCCTGAAGATTTTGGAGGGTAGTCGGTTGTGGTTTGACGAAGAGTATCTGGTGGTTTAATGAGAGGTTCATGCCATTCGTCGCCTTCTATGGAGCCATCGACATCAGGAAAGAAATTTGATGAACGAGATAATGCATCCGCCGTTTCGTTTTTTGATCCTGGAATATATTTCATGTCCACTTGCGGGAGCATGTCTTGGATTTTCAAGAACCAGCTATCAACACGTTTATTATTCATTGATTGTTCAACAATCAATGAAGTCAACTGTCATACTATGACAGTTGACTGCTGACTTATAATCGGTTTCAATAACAATTTTGTGAGTGCCAATGTAATCACGTAGCTTGGAAAGGCAATAATAGATGGCAAATGGTTCACGTTCGGTGTTTTTGTATCGACGTTCCGTAGGACTAACGAGGGAAGTCTCCGAAGTGTCCCATCGATTTAAGGCCCATACTTTGCCCACAGGTAGGCCTCAGTGGGACTAGCAAAACCCCAAAAGGATTCGTGCCCATGGTTCTGCGATCAAAATTTATGACCATCTCATTATTCACACAGAAACATGGAAGGAGAGGCTGATTTTTCATTTTTTTCAGAATTTTTCTGATTCGAATAACGACATTTTTCCTTCTAT